AAAAAAAAAAAAAAAAAAAAAAAAAAAAAAAAAAAAAAAAAAAAGACAATGAGGGCAGCAATATACTAAAACGTCAAATCATCAATAAGGAACCTAGCTTGTAAGTTATTGTGATGCACTCGATTCTGTAACTCGTGAATATCAGAAACTAGCCATAAAGTATATAACATGAGTCCAAACGAAGTTAAAAGGCTCAAAGAATAATACTAGAAGCCCAAGTTACCAACTCTCAAGTGGTCGTATCACAAACTCAGAAATTCTCTCGAAACACACTTCCCGACTTAAAAGCAAAAACTAATTTATTTATTCAAGAAATGTATCTTGAAGAAATTTAAGTTACATCAGACTGTTCTTCACATTTCCAGATACCATGAATCCATCGCTCATAGAGAAAATAACGTCAATGATTAATCATCAAACTTCCATTCAAAAGAACATCTTAAACTACATCTTTATGGGAGACAAATACCAGTCGATAAGCTTAGCAACATGAACATTGCTGTATTAATAATGGGAAAATATGGACAAAAAAATCCAGAAAGTCGAAGTGCTTTAAGGACAGGATGTGAACCATGGTTAAATTAATATAGCGGGAAGACATCATGAATATGACAAAAGATTGGTCTATGCTTCATGTTTGATCGCAAATGACCAGTATTAACATGAGTAAGCACGAAAGATCTATTTCCCTACCATTTCCTAAATTTCACAAATACAGGTTAGCCAGATCACAAAATATTATGCTTATGAATATGATGCAACATAGACGGCAGGAGTAACATGTAATGCATCCACGATCAATGTATTAATTTGAAAACACAACTAATTTTTTTAAGGCAAGTATTCTCCTCTTGATTAAATATCCTGCAGAGCACAAGCACAAAGGACACTTCAGATATTGCTACTACTTCATCAAAGAGCTTAGCCTTTAAAAGAAAAGGCCACTTTTTGAATACTTGCAGAGACCAAACCTAGATAGGCACTTCTTCCCTCCTTGAAGAGAATTTTAGCAATCTCGGCTTATACCTTGGATGTGTAGAACTCACAATAATTTCACCTTCAGTAATTTGGATGCCTCTGACAATGGCAAGATTGCTCAGGGAAACACGTGACAATTGAGTTTTGAAACTCCATCTCGATCAATTTCAATCAGAATCAGATAAATTATATACAATTCAGCAAGAGAAAATCTTCAATAAATTTTCCCTGCCATCAAAATGTTATTTTTTGTTCTGCTTTTAATTTTCTTCCACCTTTTCAATGTTCAGGTTCATACACTTTCAGTACATCATTTTGCATTAACAAAAAAAATGCATTAAAAAAAAATGCACATCATTATGGATACACTTTCAGTACCCTTTTTGCATACACTTTCAGTACCCTAAATAGAAATGCATTAAAAAAAAAAAAAAAAGCAAAGCACTTGCATCCTTATGGAGTCCAGTGAAAATGCACATCATTTTGCATTAGATATTAACATGGAGGTAAAAAGTATTGACATGCCACGCTTATATGACATTGACTCTGAACTAGGCCGCTCATTCATCCATGATTCACAACAATGATTCTTCTCTCAAATAATCAAAAGAAAAGGATTGAAACTATGCTAATAGATCCAATATATTTCTTTTTATTCAAAATAACCAATAACCACATTCTGTTTTAATCCACGACATTTCATTAGCAGCATGCTCATGCATGATTGTCATTATGCCTAGAAATAACATCAGCAATAACTACAAAGATGTAGCTCATAGTTCTGCAAAATCATGCCATTGAACCAAGAACAAACACCAACAGCATAACCGAGACTAATACGAAGAAGAATTGAAAATACTTGAAATTTTTATTTGTCCAATAAGATTGGAAAGAAGAAGAAGTAGCTCAAGAAATGAAAAGCCGACATGATGTTTTCCCTTTCACTTGAGGTTGACTTCAACGCATGATTTCACACAAATGTGAGCACAAGAGAACAAAGATTCAATCCTTTTCAAGCACGGATAACTAAACAGCACATAGAAAGAAAAATTCAGCAGTACTCAAGAGTAATTTGTAGATTGCGATTAGTCTTGATGACTGGCTGGAGGCTGGAGCTTAACTTTAGAAAGATCGATTCAACTTCAACAGTGGGGTATACGAAAAGAACCCGAATGATCAGCAAAAAAAGATCTCATAATTACTTTAGAACTCCTTTAATTTACTAGTTGAATTCTCAACAATGGACTTAAGCAAACAATATTAAACAAATA